ATAATAATTGAGAGTTCAATGGGAAACCAAAAGAAAAATGCATATTAAATCTAAACTATTGATTTCAATTTGGAATGTGTCTTCTATCGAATTAAAAAAACTTAGGAAATGAAAAGAATGGTACGTGGAGACTGGAGAGGAGCTGGACCCCGAAATCCCAATTTCTTTAAGGTTTGATTCCAGAATCCAGACATATATTAGTTGACTGAAAAGATTCAATATAAATTCCTCCCTCAATGCCACTTTGTTTTTGTAACCTACACCTACATTTGATCATATGCATTTTTATAGCAACTTTTTCGTAGTATTAATCGTTACCAACTGTCATCAGCTTTCGACTTGTTGATAATGTGAGACATAAGAGGTACTTCAAGCCTGATTTCTAGAAGAGAACGAGTTATCTTTTTCTATATTCGTTTATTAAAATCTGATTATATCCTAAGTATGGCAACTACAACTATGGCTAAGCGAGATCAAGTCATGTGGCGAATGAGGCTACATTCGGCCATTCGTACCGCCTTAGCATGCATAATAATCGGCTGCACCACCCTACTCAGCCCGCCCTCTATTGCAAGACATCTGGCATTTCCCTCCTTTTCATATTTAACGGCCATAATTATTGTGCCAGATGCCACCCTAGGAAAAGTTTTAAGGGGCTGTTGGAGCGCGTGTTGTGCCACGCTCCAAGTCATGCCCCTTTCTATGGTTGGGTTATGGATTCATGGCTTCGCCACTGATGATATCAACTTCTCACCCTTAGTAGCTGCTGTGATGGTGGCGGGGAGTGCTTTTTTGGTGGCGTTGCCGGGGAATACGGATTTGATGTCTAAGCGGATTGCTTTCTGGCAGCTGGTTGTTGTGTATGTGGATGCTGTTATTCATGGAATTCGTGTGAATATAGTGATGCACCATCTACGAGTTGCATCTAGTACTGCTCTTGGAGCTGTGGCTTCTGTTCTTGCTTTGTTGCTGTTCTTCCCCTGGCTAGCTTATTTTGAGGTAATCATGATATCTAAGATAAAATTACATAAATCAATCAGATAATAATGCAAATTTTCTCCATTGAGCCGAGTTCTATTAGAAACAGTTATATTAGTCCATTAAATAGGGGTAATGGGATAGTAGTGCGGAACCATATGGGGATTCAAAATGTGTAGAAGTTAAATAGAGACGGATTTAGATTTTAAAGTTTATAGTTTCCTATAAGAATCTCAAGTTGGTGTAAAATAACATCATGAACTACTTATAAATATCTTGTTGATTTCTTAATACAAATTCATGGTATGAACAAAAGTTACTAGTTTCGTGAACCCACATTTTTTTTATATATTTATTTAAATCTTGATGAACATAGTTAGTGAATACTATGTCCAAAAGTACACCACAATCATAAAAACCATTACAAAGTGTAGTTCATAATACCAGCTAGTTTATTAATATCCATATACTATATTGCTTAACTTTTTCGATATTTTTCTTTGGAAATTAAAGTTCATACACAGGAAACAAAAATATCATTGTCTACTTGGTCCAACAAAATCATTGACGCATGTGACATCAACATCGACTAGCCTGTTAACAAGAATAACCCAACTTTTCAAATAGTAATAAAAAAGAAAGGCCAATCTATTTTTCTAATGCAAGATGAAAGGGATCAAGTCCTTTATGAAAAATTCAAGGTCGAACATGAATTGACAAGTTTTTCGCTGGTTGTCACTTGTCAGCTTACGGCGTCTAACTTCTAAACACTTACTAATGTATACAAGATTTTCACGACCAACTAAAATAGTTTGATATAACTTTAAAGAAGTCCATCACACTTGTTTACAATGATACAATTGCTAAAAGATTTATTGAATTTTCTTACAGGTGAGGAAACTATATGGTATGTATGCTGAAAATGTTTCAGAGAGATTGAATCTTTACATCAAAGCCCTCCATTCTCCAAATGAACAAATAGCTATGGAGATCCTATCTCAAGCCAAACCAATTTCCCTAACAGGATCCAAGCTTCTTCAAAGTATCAAACTCTTAGAGGTACGATTAATTATGTCACAACATAAAGAATTTTTACACTATCAGTACGCAATTAGTTAACCGGTCAAAAGCATACTATTATTACTCCGCTTTCCAGATCAATTTAACCTTATTAGGTAAAAATTCTTGCATGGGACATTTTCGTGGTCTATGCCTATACGCGACCAGAAAAAATTTGATCGATTTAACCTGGTACAGAGTTGTAGGTCAATTTAGAGAATATCCAGAGTGGATCAGTAGCCAGTACGTATGTACATACGCCTAATGGCGTATGTAATTCACATGTTGTATACCAACAGTGTGATTGAAACATTCTTATTGTTGTATACTATTAGGTATACCAGAATGTGAGTTGTATACCTCGACGATATACAATGTAACTTTTTGAGGGGCGAATTCTATAAATTGGTATATGTAGGTAAGTATTTTTATTCCTTTCGTCGTTCAGTTGCCTAAATATCCATTTGTACATGAGCAGGGAAGTTTACGATGGGAGAAACCTTGGCTAAGATTCATAGTCCCCTGTTTCACTGATCCTGGAAATGGTTTGCATGACATAGAAAGTCCAATGAAAGGAATGGAAATTGCTTTAACTTCTTGTCCTTGTTTTCAAACAACAATTATAGATGAAAAGCTCATACGTGTCTCACATCGTGTGCTACAGCTACTCGGTCTAAAACTGGAGCAAGCTCGTTGTCTTTTGCGAACACATTCAATGATAGCTACAGAAACAGAAGGCGTATTCGAGAATGAGTTTACGAGTTTGTCCCTTGAGTCAATTTCCCTGACAAGCCTAGATATACCAGCAATTTTCTTCTTGTCTTGTATCAAAATGTGCATAAATGATCTAATCATGACTAAAGGATCCAAAGATTCAGGAGGAAGTGATAAAGCTAGCTCGAAACGAGTCTGCATCAATTGGACTAACCTAATGAACCGCGGAAGCCTAGTATTCGCGTGCAAGTGCTCAATTTCGTTAGGATTGGCTGTACTACTTGGTCTGCTATTTAACAAACGGAATGGATATTGGTCAGGGCTTACAACAGCCATCAGCTTTGAAACAGGAAAAATAGCAATTTTTACAGTTGCAAATGCTCGAGCACAAGGAACAGCTCTAGGATCAGTCTATGGAGTACTAGGCTGCACTGTTTTTCAAAATTTCGCGAGAATAAGATTCATAGCTATGATCCCTTGGATAATTTTCGCGTCAATTTTAAGGAACAGTAAAATGTACTCTACAGCAGGAGGAGATGCAGCAGTTATCGGAGCATTACTGATTCTAGGCAGAAAACGTTATGGTCCCCCCAGTGAATTTGCTATTGCTAGACTCACCGAGGCCTTAATTGGATTATCATGTTTCATCATCATAGAACTTGTTATCCAACCAACACGAGCAGCAACAATCGCGAAAAATCATCTTCTTCTGTGCTTTGGAACACTTAAAAGTTGTACTAAACAAATTGACTTGGACTCAGGGCAGATCAATGGCTTTATGAAGAAGCAAAGGCAATTGAATTCTCAAGTAGAGAAGTTACAAAAGTTCATAGTAGATGCAGAGTTGGAGCCTGGTTTCTGGTTTACGCCTTTTCCTGTTTCATGCTACCAAAACCTTCAACGATCTCTATCAAATGTCGTGCACTTACTGTATTTCATGGCCTACAGTATAGAATCTCTTATACAAGTATTAGATAGTTGTGATGCTGATAGAAACAAGATCCAGGAACACTTAAACAAAGACAGACAGATTGTCAATGAAGCGATAACCTCTTCAATGAAATGTATTGAGACAACTATTTCTATCGGAATGTCAAGAGCTTTCCAAGATCAACCAGAAGATCATAAAATTGTTTATGACCTCGAGGAGGGAAAGTCACAACGCGATTATACAGCTACTTCTACGAGCAATAAGGAATGGAAAGCTTCAAGTGATTTTCTTGAGCACTCAAAAGAGGTTGTAGATAACATGACATCAATTGAAGGAAAAGAAGAGGTTATTAGAAAGATGATTCTTTGTTTGTGTTCAATAGGATTTTGCATGAGTTGTTTGATGAGAGAAGTAAAAGAGTTAGAGAAAGGTATAAAAGAATTGGTGAATTGGGAACATCCATAAATAGACCATAAAATTCACTAATTAAATTTTGCAATAATATTCCCACGCTATTTGTTTATTGTTAATGGTCAAAAACAAATTCAAAGTATCCCGATTTTTCAAGTTTTATACCTGAACTATACATGTGTGTGAGTTTTCTATTTAAACTAGATTGTTCCCGTTTAAATCTTAAACTACCAATTTTGATTTCTCAAGAAGGCCAAACAATAGATATTTCGAAGTTCCATAATTATTCAATTCAAATAAAGTTGGATGTTTATTAAATCAACATATTTTATACTTAAATAATTAATGTGAACTTGTATACGGTAAGTCAATTTATTTAAAAAAGAATAAGCAATGAAGAGGAAGAATGATAAGCAACACAGAAGCCGAAACAAAAGAAGAAAAGAAGTGTCAAATACGTAACTAGAAGTTATGATGAGTCTTCTAGACGATATAATTTTATAAATAATGAGAATCTCTATAAATAATTCTCTACGTATTAAATTGTATTACAAGTGTTCAGTCAAAAAAAATTATTACTATAAATAATATATATTTTCTTAATATAGCATAGGTAAGTTTCCAAATAAATATGTGAGTACAAATAAGTTTTTACTTTAGCCCTTTCTTTTCCTTATTAAAAGTTTCCAAAAACAAAAACATTCTAGGCGAAACCAAATCAAACAAGAAATCCAACTAAAAACTCATTTACTAAAACATAGAAAAGGAAATTAACTTAAACCCAAACCAAATTAAAGTGGGAAGAAAATAATCTCTATTAATACTTTGCTCCAATGCAAACTATAGTACTCTGTTCAAACTCAAAAGTATTATGTTCCTTAATTTCTTTCTTGATCAAAAAGAAACAATGACTTCTCATCGTTCTTTCCATAATGGCAATCATCATCAACGAGGTTATAATTTGCATACACGCCCCAATTATCAGCCTTCTAGACAATATAATCTTGATGATTATGTTAATCCAAACGTATATAATGCATCGTTTGCTCAATATGAGTACAGTGCTCGACAATTTAGGAATGGCAATCATCAACAACGAGGCTATAATTCGCGTAGAATCCCCAATTATCAGACTTCTAGACAATATAATCTCGATGATTATGTTAATCCAAACGCATATGATGCATCGTTTGCTCAATACGAGTACATTGCTCGACAATTTAGGAATGACAATCATCAACAACGAGGCTATATCGCGTAGACGCCCCAATTATCATACTTCTAGACAATATAATATCTATGATTATGTTAATCCAAACACATATGATGCATCGTTTGCTCAATATAAGTACATTGATCGACAATTTAGGAATGCAACAACGTCAACAACGAGGCTATAATTCGTGTAGACGCCAAATTATCAGCCTTATAGACAATATGATCTCGATGATTATGTTAATTCAAACGCATATGATGCATCGTTTGCTCAATATGAGTACACTGATCAACAATTTAGGAATGGCTATCATCAACAACGAAGATATAATTCGCGCAGATGCCCCAATTATCAGCCTTCTACACAATATGATCTCGATGATTACGTTAATCCAAACGCATATGATGCATCGTTTGCTCAATATGAGTACACTGATCGACAATTTAGGAATGGCTATCATCAACAACGTCAACAACAACGAGGCTATAATTCACGTAATGCTCCAAGACGCCCCAATTATCAGCCTTCTAGACAGTATGATCTCAATGATTATGTTAATCCAAATGCATATGATGCATCGTTTACTCAATATGAGTACATTGATCGACAATTTAGGAATAGCTATCATCAACAACGAAGCTATAATACGCGTAATGCTCCAAGACGCCACAATTATCAGTCTTCTAGACATTACGATCTCGATGATTATATTAATCCACACCCAATTCATGCTTTTCAACCTCCTCTGCCCTACTGTTATTCAGTCTTAGAATCACTTGGAGTAAATACCCATCCTCTCTCATATTATCAACGCATGGAAAATGCCAATAGGTCTCAACATGTCAACTTCTGGACTAGACTACTGAATTTTCGAGAGAGAAATTCGAGATTTCGTTTTCGTCCTCGATCATGAGGATGATCATGGTGATGTACTGAAGTATTTGAAAATAAGAATTCATCATGCTCCTGAAGTAGTAGCACCTGATGTAGAATCAGATATCTGTGCTATATGTCAATCTGAATATGAAAACGAAGAGAATATAGGAGCGTTGCAATGTGGACACGAGTATCATTCAGATTGCATCAAACAATGGCTGATGAGGAAGACAGATTGTCCGATGTGCAGAGCTTCAGTTTTGCCTTCACAAGAACAGAAACTATAGAGACGTTATTTTGTTTTGATTTTACTGAATATAGGGGTGTGCATTGTTCGGATTAAATCGAAAATCAAACAAAATCAAACCGAATTTTAATTTGAATTGGATTTTTTATTTTTTGGTTTGATTTTGGATTTAAAAAAATTGTTTAGTTTTTTGGTTTGATTTTGGATTTAGAAAAAAAAAACTGAATTATATATATTATTGATTACATATATAATATATTTAGATTTTGAATTAAGTTGGAGTTAACGACTTTAGTCCCTTTTTAGTTATTGCGTTTCGTTATGATATTTTACTTTTAAATATTGAGTTTTAAGTTTTACTTGTGATTTATATTAAAAAGTATTATTAATGCATTCAATATTATTACTTCTCCTTGTATATATATTTTTTTCAATTTACAAATATAACTTTGATTATGTTACTTATTTATTGATAAATCAAATAACCAAACCAATAGCAAAATTGGGTTGCACTTTTTTAAGATCGAAATATCCAAACCGAATAGTACAAAAAACCAAATGTACATCCCACGTTGCTTGTTTATTTTGATAAAAACCAAGAAATCCTCAAGACAAAACTCAAAACTCGATGGATAATGAATCTGCCCATCTAGTAACAATAATCTTCTAGACCAAATTACAGCAGCTAGAAAAAAGAACAAACTTGGAGTCTAGAACTTACATTTTCTACTTCCTTTTCAATCATGTCGAGCTAAAACATACTGATAAATCTGCACAAGGGAAGTAATTATATCAATTCTCATACGAACTCTATATTGACTCCACTTTGAAGGTTATGTATGCAAAAAAAAAAGACAGCTTTTTATTTGTTTAAAGTAACGAAAACTGAAGTAGAGCCAAAAGTTAATTTTGAACATCCTCAAAATGAACCAAATCACAACATCTCAAGGAGGAGAGTTCCAACAGCTAAATCATTGACGTACAATGAGACCAGCATGTATTATGGAGGGCAGTCCTTTGAAGCAGTATGTAATTTGAAACAAAACCTCGAGAACATCTTTTCATTGGATGAAAGCGAGTTAGTATGCTAATTCCTCATCTGCAAATCAGCCCTTAGCAATAACTGAAATACATGTTCTCAAGGACAAACCAAGGATAAGTAAAACAAATAGTAACTAGTGTCTTTTAAGGATTAAAAAGGTTCCCGACCAGCTTCTGAATCGACAAAATTGGGGTCGTACATCTCATATTCGTAATCTGCATCAAGGTCCTCCATTGTTCTGCCAAATACAAAGTGTTTTGTTCCCATGGTTGTAAAAGGCATCAGACCAAAAGCTCTGGCAGTTTTTATCTCCCTTGCAATCTTTCTTTGGGCCTTGGCACTAATTCCAGTCTATACATGACCGAAAAGAAAGAATAAGAAACATTTACATATTCAATCGTCAAAATTAGTCGATGGATTTGATTACAAACCTTGCTCCTCTTGTGGAGAATTCCAGCCTCCGTGATGAAGTTAGCTAGGAATCTCACATTCTGTATTGCAAATTTGTTAAAGCTATAAATCAGATAACTTCGTTAAGAGCCAGAAGGTTCACAATGGGTCATAATTACAAGGCAATACTTGGGAGGAAGACACCAATTTTATGTTTATAAGCAACATCCCAGTACTTGGAACATGATATTCAGCAACAATAAACTAAACAGCAGAGACTTGATGCTAAGAATATCAAATAAGCAATATACGTGCTCAAGGGTGTTTCCACGTGCAGACATTGGGGTGCATATACGGATACATTCTAAAGCCATACATGGTCAAAGTGATGTAGAACAAAGAACACAAACCCTGAAATCAGCTTTGCGCAAAACTTCCTCTGTCGTAGTTTCAAATTCATCCCTTTTTTTGGGCTTGCGAACTCCTGGTTTTCTAAGATCAAGATCCTGCATGATAATAATGAAAAGCTTAGAGGTGGACATGACAGCACCATAGGAAATATAGAGCAAGAGGACATGTTGAGCTATGGCAACAAATTAATGCCATCCATAATTTTGCTCTTCCAACAGCAAACAAAGCATGAAAACGAGGTGTACTAGGAAATACACACTTAGGGTATACAATTCTAGCAGGCCCAAACAATTGAATGTTTGATGGAAGCTGTTGAAAGTTGAAACACCAATGGGTACAAGATCTACAAAAACCACAGTGAGACATATCCGTATATGGAATTGACACTCAAGATGCTAAAAGCATACAAGAAATGGTAGGCTCATTACTCATACCTTGAGTTCATAAGTGTTCCCAGGCCAAAAGGTCATATCTGCTCTGTAAGCATAATCTTCTTTGTTTACTTCATCAGGATCAACCTGAAAATAGCTGGCTGCTTCCTTCAGCTTACCATCCATCCCATCTGATAATGTATTAAAACTCTCATCTAGACCATCAAGGATACTAGATCTGTTTCCAGAACTGAATGTGGAGCCCATACTAGATCTATCATAAGACTTTTCAGCGTCATCAAGCTTTCTGAAAAAGGAGTTTGGACTTGGCCTGTTACCCGCACTATCACCAAAAATTCGTCTTTCAAAGTCTTCAGCAGACTCAAATGAGTTGGTGCTATGCTTATCATCAGGGGCTGTGTAGTGACAAGGAAAGTCGTGTCCATTACCAGGGATGTAGATAAAAGAGAAAATGCATATACATGAAAAGGGGATGATGACCAATGATGAAGAAGCACATAATTACACCAATAAAGAAGAATCAGATAAAGCTAGAGCGTCTTAAATATGAACATTAGTAATGTCAATTAGGATTGTCCAATATGAAAGGCAGACAATTTGTGAAGGAATAAGTGAACCAGTAAAATATCATCCAAGAGATGCTTGACCATGTTACAATTCTTTCCACTATTCAATCACAGGATGCCGATCGTCATTGTGTGTTCAACATGTTCAGCTGTTTAAAACTCCTAAACAACTTAATTTTTTTTTTGAGAAATAACTCCTAAACAGTTTTCTCCTAAAACAGTTTTTTCCTGAGTGATTGTAATGAACTCATATTGTATTGAAATGGATAATTGGAATTACACGTACAATTATAAGAGTTCATCATTCTAATTGCTCCAAATAGTAACAAATCCTTCCAAGGGAAGAAGTAGAAATAAAAAGGGAGAATGGAGAGAGGTTCCAGATTAATCTAAGTAACTAAGAAATAAGAGACAAGTTCATAGCATAAACCCTAATTGACTAGTTCCCTCTTCTATATATAGGCATCTACCCGGGGTCCCAAATGTAAGGTGACATCTTATCACATGGGTCCTCCATTGTAGTTATATTCATAACAATTCTCCCCTCTTCAATAAGAACGTTGTCCTCAAGGTTCGAATATAGTCGTAATGAGACCATAGTATTGTCTTGTTCCTCTTTATCAGTGTTAACAACCCAAAGGAGTTCTTTAGACGCTTCGTTATCCAAAGCAACATACAATAACGGTCTTTTGTTTTGCTTTTTGAACCAGAGGTTGTATCCATGTCTAACAAGAGTAACATCAAAGAGTTTCTTGGGAGATGAAGATGGTGGGACTAAAGTAACAACGTTGAACACCTTATGGAGCTTCAATTTGAGGGCATTGAAAATTGTTGGATTCAACTCCTCTAAAACATTATGAATTGATGGCATTGGCAGTTGTAAGGTCTTTGTAGTCAAACAAGCACTCCAGGGGACAACCACTTTCTCAACCAGTTTGAAAAAAATCCTTCCAACACCAAACACAAAACCAACTTCCAATAGCATATATTAATTAGGGGATAACTCGTCTAAAGATGTAACCAACACTATGTATCTCACCCCAATTTCAGAAGCATCCAACAAACACTTGATCGTGTGTTGAGAGCAAGACCACATCTTCAGTTCATTGGAAGCCCCACCAGCTTTCCGTAACATTTCATTGAACACATTTGGAGCAACTTTTGGACAATATCCAGCCAACATGATTTCCAACACGTTATTTGTGCCTTCCTTTTTGTTATTTGTTGCCTGCAACTCACTTTCGACAAAATCAGCAGCTGCACAAATATGCGAAAAGATTTCTTCTTGTAGCATTTTTATAATCTCCATCTGTTCGCTGACTACAACAATTGTTTTGTCAATATCCTCTATAGTCGGTGCCTTCAGCATGACTTCCCTTGTAGCTGCTACAGTTTCCGACGCAGCAATAATAGTGTTTGCCGTGGTGTTTGCACCTTCTAACAGTAACATTTGATCACAAAGAGGCAAATGGAATTTTTCAAGCTGGGCTACTTGTTGTTCATGGAGCATTTGCGTTCATAAAAATGGTATTGTGGTTCTTTTGTTTTGTACACCGTTAAAATCTTCCACTCTTCCAACCTTAGGAGCAACCTTTTTAAATAATACTGTCTTTTTTGCAAGCACCTCAAGCATCATTCTAGCTTGGATCCAGTAGTGAGCAAACTTGTGAATTGGAAACTTGTCGTCAGAAAAGATATGGCTGCTCCTTTTTAAACTGGTTGTAATTGGATATTCTAATGACATTAACCCACAAAAGAGTCGAATACAAATCTCAAGGATGATCCATAAGACTATTACTGAGCAGTCGTCAACCCCTACAACAATTGAATGACCACTAGACAAATGAAGAAACTGGTTGTAACCAGTAGGTGAAACTGATCCAAAAACACTTCCGTTCCACTTCTCAGATTGAGGCCAACATTCAGAACACCATGGATAGAGCTTATACCAGAATTCATGTTTACACCAGCTCTCTGATTTATATCGTTGCTGCCAGATCGTTTGGAGTTCCCCAAACATGCAAATACTGTTCTTGCACATTGGTTGTTCACCAAAATATGCAATACTTGGTCAGCAGAAAAGACAATCAGCCCAAGCCAATTGCCACTTAGCAAAACATCTGTTGTTAGATTGATCTCGACATTAGAGTTATACCACAAATAAACATGCACCTCTCCTGTGGTATTTAGCTTCTCCAACAACCCAAGCACAGTAAAATTATTGTCGCCGTGTGAGGAAGCAACAACAGTGTGTAGCTGCCAGGACAAGTTGAAGTTGCGAAAATTGAGGTACTGACGGAAGTCATATGTATCGATATACTTTTCTAATGCACTGAGCGAAACAGCCCCGACAGCATGGTTAGCCGATACGCAAAGATATTCGATATGGGTAACAATTCTAATATCTTCACACATGTCACAGAAGAAAATGGAAACATCATGTGTGACATATACACCGGGGTCAAATGGAAGTTGTAAGCATTTAATCTTATGGAGCAATGTGATTCTATCCATAATCATAATGTCACTCCCAAATTCAGGGCACGGTCTAGTTGAGTCAAGAATAAAAGAGTATGCATATTTATACCTGCCCGACATATCAGCAAACACCTTATATGTAGTGGTCACTGAGGATACATCACATACATCTGAAGCATCGTCCACACTCAGAAGTGGAAAGCCTTTCGAATAACCAAAAAGTAGAACTCGGTTGATTGAATACTCACTCGAGTTTACCTTATCAAAGCAAGCCCACTGCCCTGTATCAAACCAATTAAAAATGTGTAAACCAAGCGAACCAATAGCTGTATGAGGGCCGGGAAATTCTGCAAAAATATCTCTCTTCCGCAATCGAACACCTTGCAGTCAAACTCCATGTCAAGCTTATGTCTGTAGCCTTTAACTGGAAGTGTCAATTCTTTAACTGAGAAGGACAAACGAGAAAATTCAAGCTCAGTAGTGTCAATAGAAGCACTGGACAGAACAGAGGGAGAGATGTGCTTTTGTATTTTATATCCAACATCAAGAATAAGAAGCTGAGAATCCAACTGTGATTTCACGGTATCAGCAATCTCGGTGTCATTATCATTGCACGCTGACTCTAGCACAGAGGTGATAGTTTTATCATCTGAAATATCTGGAGTATCAGTGAAAGTGGAGTCCAATCGCATCTCCTCCTGCAGCAATGACCGCACATGGCAAATAGAAGAGAGCATACGCTTGTTGTTCGCCTGGAGCTCCTTCATCGATTCTTGCAGCATCTTCAACGATTCAGAGAGGGTGTTGAGTTGATCATCAAGCATGGCAGAAGGGTAAAGAGGCAGTCCCAAATGTAATTTGGTATCTTCTCACGTAGGTCCTCCAGCTAAGTTATATTCATAACAGTGATCTTGGAAGATGTATGGGGACAACCAGCATTGCCAAAGGCTCATTTAAGATGTGATTAAGCTCTGAAGCTCAAAAGAATTTAAGGAGGGCATTTCGTAGCTCAAGTTGAGCTAAGGAGTGTACAGTTCTACTTAATTTGAACACTGTAAATGTATTTCTGAACAACGAGAACGGACCAGATCTAAATATTTTGAGGTCAGACACCTCTATTTTCCGGCGTAAAGTCAATAGAAAATTGCTAAACAACGATAATATGATTCAAAATAAGCTCAATAAAACTAAATCTTGCACATTTTCAGTTACAAAAACTACAAGTTAGCATGATAAAGTAAGGAATTCAACAGAGAATTGAATAAATAACAGTACCTACCAAAATTCGAAAGTGCAGAAAAAGTCCGATGATGAGAAGAATAACGAGATAGGCAAGCATTGGCAGTCCTTAAGACACCTCGGACAATCTTCATCTTGGCGACGGCGATGGCAGCAGCGGCGATGGAAGCAGCGGCGATGGCAACAGCGGCGGTGGCAACAGCGGCGGTGGCAGCAGCGGCGGAGATGGAAAACGGATTCGCCGATTTGGTTTCTATTTGGATAATGGAAGCGTAGAGTGTTGTTTATGGGCTTTGAAAATGGGGCTTTGGGCTGTGGGTAAGTAATTGGGCTTAAACTCAATTTTGAGGGCTAAACTCTAATTCTTAGTGAAAATCGCGCATACAATATTTAATTTTGATGTATATATATATATATATATATATATTTATAAAATAAATTTAGATATATGTGTATGCATATTGAACTCTAAAAAATATATAGGATAAAATTAGAAGTGATTATATTAGATAAAGATCATCAAAAATACATAGGATAAAATTTAAGAGAGGGTTATAACTTGAATTTATTTGAACACGATTTATATAGATATTCAGATGCATTAGTCCGTACATGCAATATTATGGTGAATAGAAAAAGATACACCAATCACACAATAAGAAAATGTCTCAAAGCCAATAAACTTTAGAATCAATATTGAGTTGGTTAAGAATATAACATATTGGAAGAAAAATTCATATAAACAATATTAACTAATTGAAATTTTTTAAAAAAATCATTAAATTCACATCATATCCGAGAAGACAAGCACAAAAGTTAGACATTCCTTTAAATTTTTTTTGAAAACTTGCTTATTATAAAATTAAATGAGTAGAATATATAGAGAATTCACATTAAGAGAGCAAAAAAAATACACAAAGTGTGGCTGCTGGGATTCGAGCCCAGGTCTCCACGGCCACAACGTGGAATTCTTACCACTAAACTACAGCCACAGGATGAATGCAAAATCGTAATAGATCTGATTAGTTAAGTCATTTACGCTTACAAAATAAGAAAAGAATTTGGTTAGAAGCACAAATATATGAAAGATCATTATATATCATACCATATATTTCATACATGTTCGTTTTGGTTTTTCATACCAACAATGATTCTTAAGACGTTTGAAAATATACAAATAATCCATTTCTAGCTTCTTCTTTTTTGTATAAGTATTACTTATCGATATGTTATATGAATTTGATTCTAGTTTTAATTCAATTACTTTGGTAGGAAAGGCATATTTATTTTTCCTAATTAGTTTGGCATTTCTACAAGACCCTTCATGTTATCACACTTTCTTAAAAACATTCTTATAGTCTGTTTGGTCAAGCTTTTAAAAGATAAAAAATGTTTATTTTAGAAAAGTAAAGTGTTTGATCAAGCTTTCACGAGAAAACAAGTGTTGATCAACATTACTACAAATGCATTTCGATAACATTCACAATCCTATCTGATTTATGATCTATCCTATGCACAAAATACTCCTTAACGGGTAAAAGAATGGGTATCAATAAACTAAAATGGGAATTTTTGTATATATGTCACTAATATTAAAAATCAACAAGTGAACAAAAGGTGTCGTGGTGTAGTTGGTTATCACGTCAGTCTAACACACTGAAGGTCTCCGGTTCGAGTCCGGGCGACGCCAATTCTATTTTGTGAAATAGACAACATTCTTCTTTTATTTTTTTTAATTATATAGTTGATTAATTAAACAAGTTAGGAGGTAACGGAGTGTTGTTTTGTTGTTTGAATGTTTAGGTTTGTTCGGTTCATGTAGTTCTTGCATTAAATATCTATCATCATATATTGTGTTTCGATTATCACATACTTTGTTGTTGCTATTGTTCCTTTCTTGTAAGCTTTGCCGATGGTCTTTTGGAAACCGGCTCTCTATCCTACCTCATGGGGTAGTAGTAAGGTTCTACGTACACTTTACCCTACCCAGATCCCACTTATGGCATTCACTGGGTATGTCATTGTTATTGTTGATTACAAATTTGATATTCAAAATCAATTCAAATTTGAGCTCTTAGGGCTCACTAAAGGAGAAACACTCCCTACATAAGAAATGACTCAAAAAAACATTGAAACTTGAGACCTCAAGCATTTTTTGAGATACTTGTTAGTTGTTACTTGTTACTATAGCAAGGGATTATCTTATAAAAAGAATTATGGTTTTGCCGTATTTGTGCAGTCCAATTTTTCAACAAAGGAGATTGATGAAGTTAATCCCTTTACTCTGATGATGTTCAGAAACTGAGGATGATTGAATATGAGATTGTTGAGCATGCAACACAATCGTTTGGTTTGAGGGATAAGATATTATAGTCGTGGGAATATATCGAGGATAAGTTTATCCCATATGTAAGATTTTTGATTCAGAACTTAATCTGACAGAACAGGCATAAACCCCTTTGGTTTCAAACAAGGACTAGAGCAATTTACTTGCTTTCAGTTCTTGTTAAAGTCAAAAATGAACAAAAGAAAAGGTCAACAAGAGGATGTGTATTTGCATATATATAGTATATCATTACATGCTATTACTGATGGATAGCAACATAAAGAACAAACTACACCAGAACTTGATCAAAAACTTTACGCGCAAATGAATATATATTATGCAGCTGTATACAACACAAATAAATGGTACACGATTAAAGACAATCTCCTAAATACACGACCAAAATGCAGAAAAATAGTAAATACAACTATGGTCTTTACAAATCCAAATGTAAGCTAAAAGTTGTAACCTTGAAAAATAATGGTCATCAGAACAGTTTGTTCTGTTTCCATCATTCCTTGTTTCTTGAACATGAGAGGCAATTAACCAATCATGTTCGTAATGCTACATACATCAACTAGTTTCAGAGACGAATCCTTCCAAGATGTAATCTGGTTGAAATCAATTTTGGAAGGGAAAATAATTACCAGAAGTTGTGGCATCTGCTACTCTTAGAGGAAACCTCCATCAGTCCATTTGGACTCTGATTTTCCACCATGAGCAACATGTTTATTGTTAGGTGCACTTTGGAAATTATCAAATCCATCATCTTTACCATCATCCCAACCAGCCCAGCCATCGTCATTACTGGATGTAGCCCCTCCGGTAGGATTTTCTTTCCTGTTGTCTTTACTATCCCAATCATCCCAGGACGCTGAGCTGACCGAATTGGCCTGCCTACCAGATGATTGTGCTCCTCCAGAAGAATTCCATCCTTTAGATGCCTGACTGGATTCCTTATAATGGCCGTTTCGTTCATTTTCACTTTGTTGCCAGCTATCGTCCCTCGGGTTTGAACCCTCAGCAAATTCCTCAACTTTCTGCGAAGCTAAAGCTAAGACCCCCTTCATGATACCCCAGCCCTTCTGTCCAATCTCAGTTGTTTTTGTTGCGACAACATTGACTGTTTCATTCATCTTGTAATCATAACCACCCTCTGCCACCTGTAAGAGTCGGATTACACAAGCATCTTACTGAACATTAATAAATCCCTGCCTCTTTGTCCAAAAAAACTAGAAACAATAGAGTTGAGAATACAGGCTATATGACCAAAAACTTAAATGAAGACTGGAAAAATACACAACTAACAGTACTGTGAAAGAGAGGGGATTGACTCCTGCTCGACTAAAGTATAAACGGTCAGTAAATTAAATATTATATTTTGATAGAAATACTCATCCCTATGAGCATTGAATAATCACTACGGACTCTTAAGTGATTGGAGAAGGATCAAACACAAACTAACCTGCAACTTTAGCAGAAGAAAACTCCAACTCATAATATGAAATAATTGAAACATATTGCAACCTTTCTTCCTATGATGCCAAGTTCCGTTAACTTTTAAGTCACAATTTTTGGTTTTCAATTAATACAATTCAACTGTACTGTCTTCTTTCTCATGGCAAGATAAAGGGCAAAACTAATTTTACAGATGCTCAACTTCATATAGAGTAACTCCCAAGACGAGGAGTTCTACCATTAAGGATTATAACTAGAGAGGTGGAGAAAGACTCATAATATTGTGGAGGGAAATCTTGGTTATGATAAAGTGCAACAAACAATTGCTTCTTTCCCATGCTTTCCCCCAAGACCTTCATAGAGAAAAACTATCTTGAAGATGAATTTCCCTTTTGGCAGCCCCTAAGGAGGATCCACTTAGCTTAACCAAACTACTAGTAAGTAGTAACTAGGCTAAGCATTTCCAAAACTCTCTCTCATCTTATTCAAGATATTCAAACTATAACATATGCATATATTGTTATGATTTATTAGACCTAATAGGTCCATTTCTAATTGAAGATACCAAAACATCTAATAAATTTGTATGGTCTTAGGGTGTGTCAAGAGGTTAAAACAAAAAAAAAGTTTGAGAAGCTATCAAATAGCTATTAACCCAAAATTTCTCAGGCTTAGTACGTGTAAGGTTTACACTTAACATATTTTGAAGTGTTTTATGAAGCTTAAAAGTCAGTAAAGCTCACAAAATCAATGTAAAACAGCATGAGCATGTTTTACTCAATCTATCTTATCTCCTTCTAATAGTTATTCAAATTCCATCTGATCTCATAAAAACAAGACTTATAGGCTAAAAGATTTATGAAGAGCATCAACCATTTCTCCCATTTATGTACTAAACCAAATTTTGAATTGAATCGGAGCATTATGTGGTCCGACCTTGTACAGGTCCATATGAAAGGGTTACTAAGATATGAGGATTCAAATCTATAAGATCCCACATAAAATAGATGTATGAGGCTATCTATATACGAAAGAAAAATGCATGTTGCAATCATATACCATATTCAAACTTAGGATGTCAGTCTTAGTGGAACATGTCTTAATTTTTTGTTGAAGGGGATTTTTCATGTAACATCATTCAAGAGTTGCACTGATTATCCAATTTCAACACTTGATCCAAAAAAAAAAAAATCTAATCTCAATTTTCAAATCTCTGACTATCTATCTAAAAAAAGGAGTAGACTGATTCACGAAGCATCCCCTGTTCATACAAGATGCATGTCACGCATATAAGTTTGATACATCACAAGATGTAGGTTGGTACACTCACAAAATAGACAAATTACTAAATACCAGTTCAAGTTACAAAATAGTGGTCGACCGAAGAATATTCCGAAATTACATGTGTACGTCTGAGTGTGAATCATGTGTAAGTCCCAACCCCTTAGCAAAAAGATATAGGTTGTTGATAATGCAAATGTGATCGTAAATAGTTTTAAAGATTAAACTTCAAATGGCCATCCATTACTTTCCTTTGGTCTATCCCTGTATTAGTAATACATTATCGCAAAGCATAATGCTCCGTGGCACATTACTTAGGACTTGGCATTTTACAAAACACAGAAATATTGTAATTCAATTTGCCATTCAATTGAAATGGATTGAAGAATACTTGTAAATCCTAAGTTCGGATAAAGCGAGACTTCTTCCAACGTTTGGGGAGAAAAGACATGCAGTGAACACTTATTAGCTCAGAAGGCATCTCCACAAAATTAGGTATAACAATCAATTAAAAGTACCTTAGAGCCAAACTCTTTTGTCCCTGCTTGAACAACAGTTGCAGCCGACTGTGCCGCTGAGGCTGCTATCATAGATAACCTACCGAATCCCTGCACACATAAAGCAGCAACCTCAACAGCTATACGCTAAATGATTTTTGACTCTTATACACTGAAAGATTAATTTTTTACAGTATCAGTTCAGTTATAAACCAATGATAGATAATTCCCTACATTAAGCACGACTGGATAACCGAGAACATAAGATAAGTAACTAGTGAAACTATACTGAAAACACAAATTACTTCTAATGTGAGTTAAATCTATATAGATAAACATAAAACACCATAAACCCCACAGAGACATGATTAGCTCAACCTTTATACCTGAGTAACAGCAGAAAAGACATCGCCTTGCGAATTGTTATTATTATTCCTAGGCATTGAGCCAGAACTTGATCCAAATCCAACATACTTCCCTCCTTGAGAGGGCGGAAGGCCCTCTGGCCGGGAGTCATTCTCAGCCATTTTCCTAGCAAAAAAATTATCCTTATTCGCGGCAGACGCCTCATACTGCGCCATTGTAACATCATCTGTAGACCTCGACCTAGCAGGCCCACCACCACTACCTCCTCCATTCCTAAAATCACCCACTGTCTGATTTCTCCTCATACTACTGTTACTATCGCCACCTTCATCAAAACTATCCCAATTATCCCAACCAGAATTACCACCTGAATTTCCAATTCTACTTCCACTCAACGGAGGTCTGCTACTGCTGCTATTAGGACCTTTTACAGATTCCTTCACAACAGGTGGATCCTGCCAAGGTTTTCCCTCAGCCAGATTTTGAATCCTATCACGATAAACAGAAGCAGATTTCGTATTGTATTTGGTAAAAATATCAGTTTCTTTTGGGATTCCATATTGGTTCATGAATTTGTTCAACTTGTCATTACCTCCCAGCTCCATTTTCCGGAGCTGGATCTCGGACCATGAGTCCATGGTAACGGATCGGACGAATGAAATGTGGACACCTAGCCCACGGTGTTTGCCGGAGCATTCCAAACACATGAAAACTCCATAGGAAACAGAGGCCCATTGTGGATTCTTCTGAGAACAATCAACACAAACCTTGTTACCAGTTTGTGCTTGGAGATCTCGGAGACGACGTGATGCCGCCATTGTATCGGTTCGGACGGCCCGGATACAATTCGGATGTCGGATCTGTAGAGAGATCGGAAAATGCAAAATTGAGGGAAAGAGAAAGATGGAGTGATCAGAACAGGGGAGGAGAAGCTGTTAAAACAGAAAATGGCCAGGAGGATAACGGCTGGTTTACAAACAAGGCTATAATAGTCCGAGAACAAAAAAAAATTATTTTTGTGACGGTACATCTTCATGTGTGCGGCTTAGTTTTGTGAGTGGACATGTGTCAAATTTTCTAATTAGTATTAATGACTATTGAGTGAATTCAAATAATAAGTTGTAATATTATTGACGAAGATATACTTAGATACATATATTTTTTATATGAGATAGACAGATACACTAAAAGAGAGAGAGAGGGGCTAGTGATATGGGGAGAAAGGTGAGAGAGATTTGTTATGTATCTCAGACATATGAATCACACTAGATACACATTAAATACGTGTATTTATATGTATCTAGGGTGATTCGCATGTATCCGAAATGTCGTGTGATTCGCATTTATCCGGGATGTCATGTGATTCGCATGTATCCGGAATGTCAGATACATAGAAGAGTGGTGGAGAGAGAGATGGGAGGGAGGCGAGCGAAATTTGTTATGTATCTCAGATATGTGTGAATTCACTTGGATATAATGTATCTAGAACAAATTACACGAAAGTTGAAATATTGTGGTTGATTTATATCTCATACGAATTTAACGCGATTGTATTGTGGCGTTAGATTATATGATTAAAAATTAGTAAATTTTCATGTGTTGGCATTTCTAATAAACTATTGTAAATTTATGTCTAGTTTAGATACACAACTTACAGAAATTAAATCAAAATTTGCATTGGTGAAGGTAACAGATATCCAAACAAAATAGTCAAAATGTTCATAAACGGTTCAGGACGCCACCATTATCCAAACAACAACAAAAAAATACACAACTTTATTTATTTACAAGAAGATGACCAACACACTAAAACATGCAAGTAGCTTATGGGTTTCTATGAAACCAAAGTACATCAGAACAAGACTGACCATCACTACCCATATTCCTCATCTTAAGTAGCAAATGAACCACAATCCCACACAAGAAACCCAATGCAGCACTTGACCCAACTAATGAAACTGATGTGCAAACAAGTACCACAAATGCCTCTTCTTTAGTGTTCATATCTCTTGCACACATAGCCAATTCAATCCCAGCAAACAACAATAGAACCCCTAAAACCCCAACAGGAAATTGTGTCAAAACCTTCACCATTGAACTACCTAAAACCAATCCCAAAATCAACTTAGCCACACCAAGAAGTGCCACACACCCACCACTCCTACCACCAAACTTGTATTGCCCTGCTAGCCCACCTGCACCATGACAACATGGCATTGCACCAAACCAACAACCTATAAGGTTCATCAACCCCACCGTCATCGACACCGAGGTAGCTGTAACTTCCCTCTCAGGAAACAAATCTGTTGACAGTTTACACACTGCAATCACAGAGTTTAGTACAGATAAAGGAAGTTGAGGTATAGTACCCTTAATAAACCCTTGCTTCCAAGCATGTTTTGATATACTTATTACTTCAATTTTCGATGGACCAAATTTAAACCCTTTTATCGCATTAGGCCCTCTTATAATAGCCAAAACAACACCTAATAAAAATATAAGAAAAGCTGATGGAAGTGAAAATATGATTTTCTGAACTTTTTTCCATCCTGTTTCACTCTCTTGATTATCGACACGATCATCATCATCATCACCAGCACCATTAACAATCACAATAAAAACAGCGCAAATTAAAGCTAACAACAATCCATCTAACCCTACCCAATCCCTCTGCGCTCCAGATTTTGATTTTGCGAAATCTTGTACATTTCTAATATACTTAACTGCTGTCATTGCAAATGACAAACCTTGTGCTAGTTGAATTCCCCTAACAACTGAAATTGGAATCAATCTATACACAATCCGCATCAATCCGGTGACGCCTAAAACGAATAAGATCCCGGCGGTGCAAATTCCGGCAGCCATAACTTCCGGTATGCCGAACTCCGGGTTACTGATAGCTACAGCTGCAATAGATTTCATTGGCTGAACAGGCATTGGTACACCATAGATAGCACCAGTTACAAAATTGTATACACCAGTGAAAATTAGCGTTGTGCCAAGATTTAAGTGACTGGCTAGGGTTAAAGCTAAGACAATTGGTATATATGTGCCTAAATCACCCATTGCACCATTCAATTCAGCCCATTTTGATTTGAATATCAAATTTTCGTTAAATTTCAACATGAAATTTGGCTTAGGTGCTTGGGAATGAGGATTATTTTCTTGAAGTGTGGAAGCCATAATGATGAATTTGTTGTTATGCAAAACATGAATATATATATATATATAGTAAAATGGAGAGGGTGGCAGTTGACTTGCAATAAAGAATCAAGTAAGGATAATAGTATTTTTGACACTTTCAATTGAATAAATTTGGATTTTGACAAGTAGGCTCTTTTTTAAAAAAAAAATTTAATTTTTTTATCTGACAAGTAGGCTGGATCAAGTGGTTATGCACCTCCATCATCATCGATACATTGTAGGTTTGCCCATTTAAGTCACGTAAAAGATCAGCCAAAATATTATTGATTTTTCTGATGATGTTGGGTGGGGGAGAAGAAGATAAATTTGAATTTGGCATGTCTTGAATCAAGAGGTCGAACACTTCCACCATCATCTCGTAGGTTGAGGGCTTGAGAGATAAGTGGGAACATGATTGATATTCGTGACAGAGCGAGGTGGGAGAAAAGAAGATAAATTTGAATTTGGATACTTTAATTAATGTCACTAACTAACTTTCTTAAAGAGTGTGTCACACTTCAAAAACTCTTTTATTTTGAAATAGAGAGTATCATCATGTTTAACTTTCAACTAATTAAAATGTGTGTTTTATCACTTTAGGTTAGAAATTTATTATGTTTAAACTATTTTTAGAATCATAGCACTCTTAAAGTATGAAATAACAATACAAACTAACGTAATAAATCGATAATTAAATGATGGAACGATTAATAATTTGTGAATTTTCACAATTAAAGGGATTAATAGTGAATATTTCAACTAAATAAAGGTTGAGTGTATAATAATAATAATAATAAATTTAATGTAATTTCACATAGGGTCTGTAGAGAGTGGTGCGTATGCAGTATTACCTTTATATCTTATAAAGGTAGAGAGGTTGTTTCTTATAGATTATCGGTTCATGTAAAACATACCATATTCAAATACGAAAAATAAATACATTAATAAATTCTAAAGATAAAGGTGAAGAACATTAACAAAACGACAAACAAGACGTAAGTGAAACAAAAAAACATGTATAGTAAAATCGAAAAATAAGATAATAGAAAAAACTAGACAATACTCAGATACTTATTAACCTTGTATCATAATTCTCACCCTTTATGCCCTCTTATTAGGATCATATCCTTGATAAATTAAAAATGTCATATCAGATTTCACGAGTATTAAAATCAAAATTTAGTAATAACTGAGGTAGCAAAATTGCTATTAATCATATTAAATAAGATATTACAAGGGAAGCAAGCTAACTAATGTCAACTTAGAACATCAAATGTCCCATCAAAGTGATGAAGGGCCATTATAAGATCCCAAAAGAATTAGAAGAATTGATGAGAGGTTGTTATACAATGAAAGATATTTGCCTCTGAATGTGGAGAAGGCATTATTCTTGCTTCTAAGTATCAAAGCTAATTATAAGGAATTTTGTTTGATAGCAAAGTTCTATGGAACAATAAATAACAACTATTTTTTGGTTGGAAATGTAAACGTGGCAGAAGAAAGATATGGTATAGATTCATGAGTTAAAAGTTTTATTCAACGAATTATTGACAAAATAGATTATTTTATAAAATAATAGTAAATAAGTCTAATAAAAAAGACAAATAACATTGATAATATATTCCAGGCTTTTCAATCGAATCTGTCGCATATGGCTTGTATAATGTGATTTACATTTCCTGGTTTATAGGCTATTATGTTGTGAGGGATTTACCACATAGTGCACATTCGAAGGACAGAAATTGTAGCAACGGCAGGCTATCCTAAAGGTTTCAAAAAATGCATTGATGATATAAAATAGTAAGAAATTGCAAATGCATATAACGTAGAGTCAGTTCCGATTATTCAAATTGTAAAGTTATCTCACTAAATTAACTTTTTTAGAAGTTATTCTCTGAAATTGATTTCCATATATAGTGCTAATTATAGCTCTCATTTGTAATTAAGGTATTATAATATCTAACAAAAAGTTTAATATATTACCAAATAAGCATAAAATTTAGTGACTTTCGTTAATTTTGTGTTTATGCTCACTTTTTTTCATTTTAAAAATAAAATTTCGAAGTATTTATTTCCTAGTAGCATCCATGTTCACCAGTTACCACCCGTACAAATGGAACATGATAATATTCTCGACATTCTTTTTATCTTTCTTTTTAAAAGGAACGTCCAAATCTTATATTACACAAATAATTTACAGTTATTTAAGTTGGCACGATTAGCTTAATAAAAATCAAACAATAATGAATAATCCATCGACAATAATGTGAAGGACAGAAAGTACATTTGCCGCCAAAAAGTTAGTTCTTTAGTTCAAACTCATCACAACTTTAAAACTCTGCAACGTCCAAAAAATATCCTACTCAAGAAATGTCACTCTTGAGCTTTTCGCTATACGAGAAAACCCCAGATACAAAAGAAAAAAAAATACGTCAATGACTTACTCAGTGTAATTCCAAAGTTGGTCTGAAGTGGGTGGTGTACGCAGACCCCTTCCCCTATCTTATGAAGATAGAGAGGTTGTTTCCGATACACAAAGATAAAATGCTACAAGAAAAGTTTTCAATAACAAACGACCAAAATTGAACTTTTGCAAAAAAGTATCCCGACAATGCAACGGCTTGATCGAGGCAGCAACCTGATTCACCGCAATTAATTGCGCCTAGAGGATGACCAACTGGTCCTTGAGCCACCACCAAACGAGTTTCGTTCATCACGCCTGCCACCGCTGCTCCACCTGTCAGTCTCGGGAGGTGGAGCCTGGCCTGCTACGTCAATTTTCTCTCTT